GACACATAGTCGGGTACAAAGAAAGGGATTTTCTAGCTACCACATGAGCTACCCTATTATAACACCGACCTACAAATCGAATACTGAATCCAGAATGGGCATCAAAATACTGAACAACTTCCTCAAGAACAGCACCCATCTGGCCATCGCTGATATCCTTCTTCTTGATCTTGTCTATAATCACCTTAGCATCCCACTCAAACCTGACTGTCGGAAGTCCATGCTCACAGCACCACAACACAGCTTCACGGAGGACCAGTAACTCCACCACAGCAGGGTCATCAGTTCCCGGGAACTGAACACCTTTAACCCAGAGGATCTCTCTAGCCGGTGTTAAAATCACCATCCCCCCAGCTGCATGAGAGCCACTCCTCCTAGCCCCATCCCACATACAAACAGCCATGCCAGAGTCTACTGGCTCCAGTTGTTGTATCCTTGGACAAGCAGCTGGAAGGGTCTGACCCCTTGACAACCTTACCCATTCCTCATATTGCTGATTGTACTGTCGCATAAGAGCAGGGATCCCATACTGCTTGCCTTCAAAGACTACCCAGTTCCGAGACCTCCAGATACGCCAAAGGATGGCTACAACAGCCATAATCAAGTCAGGCTGATGAATAAGAGCCAGAAGCCTTTTTAGAAATAGAGGAAAGGTGTGACGGGGCAAACCCTCCCCGAGGTAGTCCAACCCAGCAAACTCCCAAAGGGCGCGGGCCACCGGGAAGTAGAGAAACAAATGCTCCATCGTCTCGGGTGCATCCCAGCAAACCGGGCAACGAGGGAGCACCGAAACTTTCTTCTCAATAAGGGCCTCTGTAGTTGGAAGGATGCAATTAAGAATCTGCTAGACAAACACCTTGAGTTTAGGCGGAATATTAGTCCCCCACACCCGAATCCAACTTGGCTTATCCATCCAACTGGCCAAAGCCTTCCACTTCCCTTCACGTCTCTCCAGTGTGATTGCAAGATGGTAGGCTGATTTTACCTAGAAAATCCCATCCCTAGTGTTGTGCCAAATCAACTTGTCCTCCACATTATGCCGCGGTAACGGGATGGCTTTAATTGTTCTACAGGTAGGCGGATCAAACCACTGGCCCAGCTTAGCATCATTCCAACGTCCTTCCCCCTGACAAATAACCTCTGCTACCAACGGATCACTCCCATTAGGCAAAACTCGAGGATTATACCTTAGGGGTTCAAGCTGAAACATGGGAACCCAGGTGGAATGAAGCAGGGAAGCCGACTGACCATTACCAATCTGCCAACGTAACCCCTTCTCCAGCAGTTGACGACCAAACAAGATGCTTTGCCATCCCCACGATGGACGTGAACGGGCTTTGGTTGTGAGGAAGGTACCATTCGGGAAATATTTACCTTTATAGACCTAGGCAAGCAATGACTGAGGATCAGTAAGTATACACCAGCCAATCTTAGCAAGTAGGGCTTGATTAAACTGCTCAAACCGGCGGAAGCCCATCCCACCCTCATGCTTACTCCTGCACATATTACGCCAAGACATCCAACGAATCTTAGGCTGACCCTCAACCGCCCCACCAAAATCTAGCCACATGCTTATCCAGCAGCCGACACAGAGAGACCGGAAACTTGAAACATGACATCACATGCAGCTGCAAAGCCATGACAATAGATTTAATCAATGTTTCCTTCGCCGCCCAAGATAAAGTCCTCTGTTTCCATCCCTGAAGGCGTTCAAGAAGCTTTTCCTCCAAATAGCGAAAGGTGGCCATTTTGGACCGGGCAATCAGTGTCGGTAAGCCTAGATATTTATCATGCACCCCTACCGCACCGACTCCTAGGATCGCAGCCAAGAATTCCTGGTCTTGAAGAGCAATGTTCTTGCTAAAGCAAACAGCCGACTTGGCCAAATTCACTCGCTGCCCACTAGGTTCTTCATACTCATTCAGGACCTCGATCAAATTCTCACATTCCAGAAGAGACCCTCGCAGGAAAAGATAAGAATCATCAGCGAAGAAGAGATGCGAGATCCGCGGGGCGCGAGGGGCCACTTTCACTCCACCAAGCTTATTTTCCGATATAGCCTTCAGTAGGATTGCAACAAACCCTTCAGTGCAAATCAAAAACAAGAGGGGAAAGAGAGGGTCGCCCTACCGAAGTCCTCTGGAAGGAGTGAAATAGCCTGACGGAGTCCCATTCATTAAGACAGAGAAAGATGATGACCGGAGACATTCATGAATCCATCCACACTAGGTGGAGTTAAAACCCATTTTAGCCAAAACTGCAAGAAGAAAGGGTCATTCGACTCTATCATAGGCCTTTTCCATGTCAACCTTCAGAGCCATGTACCCTTTCTTACCCCGAGTTTTGATCTTCAGGTAATGCATTAACTCATGCCCAAGGAGGATATTCCCAATAATTTGCCGGTCGCGAATAAAAGCATTCTGGCCTTCCGAAATGACTTGTGGCAGAAAGCAGGCAAGCCGCTCAGCCATGATCTTAGTTATAATCTTATAGACAAACTGACATAGGCTGATAGGTCGCAACTGGGTCATATTCTCCACATTTTCAACTTTAGGGATTAAAGTCAGCCACGTGTGATTAAAACTCTTAAGCATCTTACTTGTAACAAAGAAAGAGCATACAGCCTCAGTCACCGAACCACCCACAATATCCCAAAAGGCTTTAAAGAATTTCCCAGTGAAGCCATCTGAACCCGGTGCCTGCTTAGACCCCATGGAAAAAACTGTTTTCCGCACTTCCTCCGGAAGGACTTCTGCCGTGAGACAGACATTCATCTCAGGCGTCACTTTCTGGGGAATGGGCAGGCTATCCACTCGCTCTGCCATATTAAGCACCTGGTTTTCCGAAGTAAATAGATGTTGATAGAAAGTATCTCTTGGGTGCTTAGTTACTAAACATGTATATTTTTCACTGTTGGAACTCCATCAAGTAAATGTCACTGGTGAGTTATTATTATGTCAAAAATGAAAAGTACATCTCAAATAAAGAATAATAACACTCCAGAAGCCCTATTTTGTTGTAAACAAAGGAAAGTCAAACTTTCTACCACTTGACAACCTCATTAATATCGTAAGATTTTATTAGTGCCAAATAGAAAAATTATAAAGCATCTTTTATAGTGTATTAAGATATGTAATGATTTCTTTGAGTTTAGTCCTATGGACAATAAGATCGATCACAGTTTGAACAATGAACAAAAGGTATACGTCTTTTAATTTGAAGACAAATTTATCATTGATTTGACAATCTACTGCACATGAAAATGCAACATCTAAGTTTGTTGATTTATACATTGATCAAATGGAAAACTATGTCGAAATTTGATTCCATTCGATTAAGATATATGATAATTTGGTTTTTCTACGTGAAGTGGTTGTCACCAAGTTGAAGGAAATGCAATATGCTTTCAATAGTTGGCCTCAACATTTAGATGCATTAAAGACAAAAATTATGAAAGGCCATTACAACTTATGAGGTTGAAAACTTTGAGTCAATCGAAAATCAGATGATCATGAATATGAACTTCTGATTGGGAACGAATTTATCATGGATTAACAATCTACTGCACTGAAAAATGTAACTTCTAAGTTTGTTGAGTTAAAGATTGACCGAATGGAGAACTTGGTTCAAAGTTGACTTCATACGGTCATATGACATATGATAATTTGAAATATCTACATGAAGTAGTTGTCACCAAGTTGAAGAAATTTGTATATACTTGCAATATTTGGCCTAAACATTTAGATGCATTAAAGAAAAAAATAATGAAACCCACGTATAATTTAAGATGTTGAAATTTTTAGCTCAGTTGAGATTAGATGGTCGTGAACATGATCTTCCAACTAGTGATGAAGTTGTTATTCTTATTATTTGACATTTTAGTTGATCCTGTTCAAGAACACACTAAGTGTAGCGGTTCTCCCATTATATGAAACTTGGATATAGATAATAATAAGAATAAGTAAACATAAAAAGGTAAAAAAAACTGACACTATTGAAAAATAATAACATCTAATAAAGTAAAATATAAACAAAAGAAGTGTACCGCCTATCGGACGTGCAGAAAACTGATAACTTTTGGTACAGTTTTATAATTATTGTAAGGGACATTCAGTCGGTTATCCAGTATTGGTTGAAGCCGATTATATTGACCGACATATGCCACTGATTTGACCAGCATATAAGTAGTGTTGTCATGTCGGCTTCCTATCGGCCGGTTCAATCGGGTACAAGCGGTATCGGTCACCAAACCGATTGCAAAGAGTCGGTATTTAGCTTTGGTCAAATCCGCTCAATGCCGGCCAGATCCGGAAATTCCGGCCGGTTAGACCAGAAACCAAAATTCACTGTTACACACATGATATCCAAAAATAAACACCCTTCATAGGGTTAACCTTATATGTAATATATCTAATATCATATTTTTTGCGATAATTTATCTAATACTATATTGTGCACAAATCATTATAAAATTTAATAGAATTCATTTACATACTTTTATTTTTATGCATTTAATTGTTTGCTATTAGTTATCAATTTTTAGCTATAAATTATTTTGTGTGAAATAATTCTTCTAATAGCTTTTTCATGACTAATTTATATCGAATTGAGAATTTTCGTTTTTCTCATGTATTTTATTAAAACCGACATAACCAGCATGAATATTGGTTGTTTCGTGGTCGGAGCATTCCAATTACAAAACCGGCAGCAGCATAAACCGGTTTGACAACCTTCCATATAAAATTATTTTTGTTTCGAGTCAGACCGTTTTCTTTCTAACTTTTTCTGGGTCTAAGATCTGCGGACTTCAATCGGAAACTTTAAAAGCTCCTTGGTAGGCGTAAGAGAAGCAAGGAGAAGAAAGCTAGAGCTGCTGGAGTTCCAGTTATAGCCAGATCAGAGAGTACCGTTTTTGTAGTCCTCCGTTGAGAATCCGTCGGTCTGTCAAACGTTACCATTGCCAAATTTAGCAGTTTTGAGAAGTTTCTGATTCGCGCTAGATTCTAGGCTAATAAGGATTAGAACAAAGGAAATCGGCGGCGGCGGCCTTGTATCGATAAATCTGGCGATCGTGGAAGGCCTGAGGGCGAGATCGTCTCTGAAGCCTGAAGCTGCAGGCATTGGCCGTGGAGGAGGTGATCTAGACAGCGACGACGACGACGGCGTCCATGTCCTCGGCTTTAGGCGGTGGCGGCGGAGACTTCTCTCCAGGGTGAGAGGACTCTCATTCACCTGGGGCTTCGGCCTGCGGCTTTTGCTCTTCATCGCCGCCATCGCCACCTTCTATACGGCATTCTCTTCTCTTCCCATCGAGAAGGTACGTTTCTTGCATTGCCCAAATTATGTTTAAAATTGCAGTTCGTGTGATTTCTCCTTTGACCCTGATAGGTAGATTTGGTGTCTGTCCGTTGCAGAAATTGAAGGACCTCCTTGTATGGATAAAGGAGGATCTTGGGCCATGGGGACCGCTTGTTCTGTAAGTTGCTTTACTTCGTCCTGGGGCTTCCTTTATCTAAGTCTTAACTTGGGTTTCCTGGAATTTTGAAGGGTTCTTGTGTACATTCCTCTCACAGTTCTAGCAGTTCCTGCTTCGGTTCTTACAGTAAGTCTCGACTTTGTTGATCTTAGAGTATCCTGTGATTTTGTTCAGAGTAGTTATGTTTTGCTCTTCGATGGTCATGTTCAACTTTCAACAGTATGCTATTAACAAGTGGATCTGTGATTAAACTTCACATTTTGTATCGGTTTCGATGAAGTATTAGCTGAAGTACTTGCTGTTCTATTTGTTAGCTTGGTGGTGGTTATCTTTTTGGGCTGCCGGTAGGGTTCATTGCTGATTCCATAGGTGCCACATTAGGCGCAACTGCTGCCTTCCTTGTTGGTAGAACGGTAAGAATGACTGACCTTCCCTGTTTCTCCATTTGTTTCCAGCTGCTCTACAACTTGGATATCTACTCAATGTTACCTCTGATTAGGCTTGTTAATGAACCAAGCCACCAATGAACAACTCGACGTTTGACTTGATAAAATCTCGTTCGATTAAGAAAAATTTCCGACTCGTTTATTAACGAGTTGAGATTGAGCGTACCTTGTTCAGCTCGTGAGTCAGCTCCAGACTAGGTGGCTTGTTGAGCTCAACTCATGAACTATCTTGTTTTCAGCTCATGAGATGTCTAAATATTGTGATTAGCAAGCCAACTCGACATTCAGCTTATGAGAAAATCAATCTATATCTTATGAGTTGCCTTGTTGATAATTCGTAGGTTTATTAAATTGTTTTCTGGCCTGTTTAAGATTTTGAGTATGTGAGCAAATATATCTCATTTATTAACAAGTCAAACCTAAACAAGACAAAGCTCTGCTCAATTCGGCTCATTAACAGCTCTACCCCTTATCTAGGGAAGTTGCAGTGTGAACTTACTGCAAGTTCTGTGATCTTTGAGGATATTGTCTGATATTTCATCTCCTTTAATCCACATCCTCATGTTTTTTGTGCTTGGTTCATTTCTATGTCAATGTTAAGTTCCCCTAGTATAATGCAGGTTGGTAGACCATACATTATTTCCAAGTTAAAGAACTACCCAAAGTTTCAAGCTGTCACCATAGCAGTTGAGAGATCTGGCTTCAAGGTAATTGCCTCCATGTTTATGTCCTTTTGGACCTGTCCTTGTTATGTAACATAGTCAATGATTGAAATGTATCTTGAAGTAACCATTGTAGCTGTTGCAAGCATTATGGAGACTGTATGACTTTTCTTTTTTGTCAGACTGAGTTCATGACTTTCATTTTGTCAGACTGGGTGCATAATTTGATGTATACTGTTTACAAATTTGAGTATTTGGCACATGAAGCAACATGAGATGTTGCAGGTCTGAAATCTGTCTAAGATTGCATGCACTTACTGGCAGATATCAGCACATGATTTGTCAAGTTAGGCTACTATTCGATTGTACGTAGAGCTGAATTTCTGAATCAGGCAGCCATAAGCTTAGCATCACATTTTGGCTTCTGAAAGTTCTTTGAAGGTCATGATGTCGAACCAAATTCTGGGGATGAGTTTCCAAACAAATAATTCGATATTTTTCCATGCAGAAATTTATTCGTAGATGAAATATGATAAAGGCAATGTACTGCTGTGTTTCCAGAATGTGTGTGCAAGTGCTTCGATTGTTAAGTTTATGTGTCTATAATTATGTTTAAAATCAACTTGAGTGCCACTAATCTTTTTGTTTTTGTTACAGTTAGCAAGTTTTGTTCTACGATTTTTGTTTTATTTTTCTCTTCGTAACTGATTGATTATTAGAGCAGTCCTAATATAATTTTTTTTCTTGGCATCAAACAGATAGTTTTGCTCCTTCGGCTTGTTCCTTTACTTCCATTTAACATGCTGAATTACCTCCTGTCTGTGACTCCTGTTCGTGTAGGGGACTTCGTGCTGGCATCTATGCTTGGTGTAATGGTAAGATTCTTCCTCGTCAACTGTAATATTTACTTTATCTACTTACACAACAACATGATTGATAATTTTCTAGTTGTTCAGGGGTCTGTTTTGCTAGTTTGTGAACCTTGAGTTTTCAAACTTTTCAACTGCTTCATTCATTTTGTGAAATACCAAGCTTATGCACTTCGAACAAGTCTACATGCTGCTTCTCTTTTGCAATACTATTCAGAATGCCAACCAACTCCCAGCCTCATTTTGTGTAGCTCTCTTGGGTTTATAACTTCTGAGGTTAGAATGGTGATATCAATTTTGAGTACTTTGCTTTTGGTAAGAAAGTGCAATATATACTTCTAATGTCTTATGAAACTTGGTCAACGAGTAAAGACTGAACATGCCAACAGAACTTATTGTGTCCACAAGGCCGAGAATTAAATGCGAACTCACAACGTTGTACTGCATATTCTTTAAGTGAGCATAGCTGAATACATGTGCAACTAGTGTGGGTAGCCTTAACCTTGTTAGCTTGAAGGTCCAACAAATTGCTGACTTCTTGTTTCTTTCTGTTACAGCCAATAACATTTGCACTAGTCTATGTCGGGACAACATTGAATGACCTTTCTGCTATTACACATGGATGGGCTGAAGCCTCAAAAATGCGCTGGGTAAGTGCCATTTTGATATGACTATGCCTTTCCTTTAAATTGCACTACAGTCCAGGCATAAGTATGATCATTGATCTTATTGTCTGATTTCCTCGAGATGCATCTTTGAAAAAGTAAGGTCTGCAGAACCCCGTCTTTGTTGCTGTAATCCATGCAATGATATAACACCATTTCCCCATCTCCTGGTAGTTAAAGGACGGCTTGTTTCATGTGTCTGGGGGTGGGTATGGTATTTGTTTGATCGAGTCGAATGTGTGCTTAGAAGAAATCCATGGCATAAAATCTAATTACACAAGAACAGATGTATCAGCTGTTAAGTCTTGGATCAGGTGATTGAAAAAGAACAAAGGGCCTCTGCTGCTCGTGCTATAGTTTGGATGAGCATTGATGAAGCATTGGTTCACTTTGTTTTTATGCTGATCTTGCTCGATGGTTGTCATTAGGGGTATCTGATCCTTGCTGCAGTTCTCATTCATTTCTTTTCTCTCCTGTAGATATTCATGGTGCTGGGATTAGCGATATCCGGTGAGTTGACTCAAAACTCGATTTTAGTTTCGGGGACAATGAACTTGTTTTGTTAATTTCAATGTCCCACAGAAGTGGATTGCTGATGGTCAAGAATCGTGTAAATGTCAACCAGTGATTAAGGAAAATGGAAAGAAATAAAGAATGGCTTAACTAAAAGTTGTGCCGAACACACTCTATCCTGCCACTGTTGTTGGCTACCCGTTCCGAGCATTGCACCTATAGATGGTGATAGTGATCAACCTTACATCAATCTATAGATAAAACGAAGTCAAGCTTAGTTCACATGTAGCAGGAACCAAACTTCGCATTGCTCAGTTAACATGACTAATATATTGGTAGAATGAACATAACTGCGATTTGACTTTGAGTGAGAACTACTGATTTTCTCACACTGGTGGTTGCTTTGTACATAGGCGTTCTCTTCTTCTTGATTGGTAGAATCGCCAAAGCTGCTCTGGAGAAAGCCTTGTCTGAAAATAGTGACTTGGAAGCTGCTGCAACAACAACAACGTTACTGGATTCGTCATTGCCTCTAATAATTACGGTAGATCCTGTGGGTGGGGGATGATACTATGGAGAATTGGAAACGCAGCATGAGCAGCCAATTTTGCAGGTGAAGTGTCATTCTGTTCTAGTGATCGATCTTTCCCTCGAGGAACACAGAGAGAGAGAGGGAGGTCTCTTCTCTGTAGAGTTGCTATAATTTCATTGCCCACATTTTTAGAGAAATAAGAGGATGCCACTGTAAATTCTTTTCTTTGTTTTTATTACTCCGGTGACTCGTTTGGAGTGTTCGACGTGTATAGCTACCATTACCTACAGAAAGTAACTTCATTTATACTCGTGAAGGAGAAGAATGCGATCTACAGCAGCCCTATATTTGATGAATTGTTCATGCTTCCTTAATGGATTTGTAATTGAAATTCTAGGTTAATGAGACAAAGAGAACTCAGGATTGAAACGAATTCTCCTTTTCACTCCTTCCCTTTGGCGCTCTGCCCTGCTTTTCGTCGTTGCCGACAGCAGAGTAGCTATAAGTAGTCCATGAATTTGGCAGTTCTTCTCCAGCTCTAGTCGACCCGATCTTCTGTTGTGCTTCTTGTCGTTCTCAAGTGCAGAGCAGTCACAATCCAAGACTTCTTCAGTTCTTCTCTAGCTCTGGTTGACCCAACCCTCTGCTTTGCTTCACCCTTGTCGACTACAGAGGAACCACAAACCCACGCCTTCTATAAACGTGTGATTCTAGGAAACCATGACAAATTTTGCTTGCTGTTGAAGGTCGGCTAAGTTATTAATCATTTGAAATTGAACTAAAGTAAAATAGTGTTAGAAAATTATTATTTCTACTAAAACCACAATGTTCGCTTAAGCTTAGGCGTGTTGAGCGCTAGGTAGGACTCCAACGCCTTTCTAGCGCTTATCACCTTATTGAGCCTTGATTAGAATACAAAATGATAGGCTTTCATGCTACTAAATGAGCTTCCCTATTCACACAAGTCTAAATTAGGGGTGGGCAATGGTTTGGGACCGGACCGAGTATAATGCGATCTGGTCCTTTGGTCCACGTGAATATCACAATTACTGAAAAAATAATGGACCGAGTTGATATTTGAAACGATCCGAACTAGATCAAATAGACTAAACGCAATGATGGTCTGGTCCTTGTTGCTAAGATATCTTTCACCAATAAACCGGATTCTTATGAGTTTGGTCTGGTCTGGTCCGAATCATTGCACACCCCAACTCTAAATGCATCAAGCAGCGCACTGCCTTGCATATCCATGTTAGCAGCCCACGTGAACCGCCACAAATACCAGCATGGCTAGTAAAATACGTTACATGTAAGTTACATATTAGTTACATTATGATATTTTACTTCGTCTCTTAATTAATAGTGCGTCTAATAGTATGTCAATAATCATCGAATATACACAATTTATTATTTTAAAATTAAAAAAATGTATAAATGAAATTCGAATTATCAATTTAGTTCAATAGATACATATATTAAATGTGTTATATGGATATTATACGTGTTAAATATAAGACCAATCAAATAAACAAATAATTGAAACAGTTTAGCAATCAAGGTGAATAACCTCCCGCTTCCTCAACCAGTCGCTTTGTGTATTGATCCACAACGTGGCCAGTAAGCAAGGCAGCAAGCGCCACTACTAAGCTCAATTCAATCTGCGTGTCGCGCAGCAGAGCCCGACCAAAGAAGCGAGGGAACACATGCCCTATCTGTGTAAGAATCCATCGATTCGATTCAAAACCAGATCGAATTAAAATAAAATCGAGTCAAAAGCAGAGCCGTCCCATGAAATTTGGAGGCCCTGTTTGAAAATTTAACATGTGGCCCCTAATTTTTCTCTCAATAAATTTATTAAAAATAAAATTTATTAAATAATTATAAAGTACATAAGTTCAGAAAATGATTTCAAAATGAATAAACAATCTCACTTCCTGTTTGACCAAGAAACCAAGACCAAATTCTCACTCCTAGCATGGAGGGAGAAAAGTAAATCTGGAGGTAACAGAAAATGGATATAGAGCAAAAATTGAATGGAGAAATGAAAATAATATAAATTGATCGAGAGGTGGGTGCGGGTCTATCTAATGGATCGTGTAGGCCCTATTCTAAAATTGAGACATTATCCAAATTGACTTTTTACTATAATAAAACTAAAATAATTATAATACCATTATTCAAAATGTAATATCTTTCTTTATTATTTAAGTTAAAATTATCTATTATCTCTCGGATTTTCGTATTCTCCATGAGATCCTTTTCAATTGTTATTATAGCTAAAATTATTTATTAAATTCGTCATCATATTCATAATCTATCAATCATACACTAAAAAAACAACCTGCAATATTCGATCGGTAACTAACTGAATCTGAGTGGAGGCCCCTAATATTCAGAGGCCATGTGCCGGAGGGCGGGCCGGCACACCCTCTTGGCCGGCCCTGGTCAAAAGCAACGGAAAAATGAGAATTCGAACTTAATCATATTATGTTTGGTTCATTTTGTTTGATCCGATTCCAATTTAATTTCGGTTTACTTTTTTCTCATACTTAAAATAATTCGTAAGATAAAAAACCTAATTAAAATATATTCTATTCAATTTGATTCGGAACAAATATCTATTCAGTTCAATATGAATCATTGTCCATCCATTTCTCCTTGCCTTAGGGTTCGTTTGAGTGGCTTAATTATCAACATGATGTCTGTATAATCAAATAACTCAATAATTGTTCACGTGGCATTTCAATATTATTTTAGTGGTAATTGAGTTAAAATATCTTGTTTGGCTGAACCATTCGCATGTGGTATTTTTTTTTTTTGCCATAGATAGTAAATAGATAGCGTATTACAAGTTTTTTAAAATTAAAAGCGGTAGTCAACCTAGTGTTGAGCTGCCGATGCAAGGGCCGTTTATGCCACTAAATGGGCAGCCCTGTTAATATGCTTAGAACCATAAATAAACGAATAAATGCAAAGGAAGTCTTCCTGGAGCAAAATTCTTGAAGCACCTATCCGCCAAGTATAACCTTTCATATCGCTTATAAGTCAAGTTTCAATAGGCCAACAATTGAGTTTATGTGCAAACTACCTGCAAGATGGACCACAAACGACCCCTAAAGGAGCAAAGCAAATTTTAAGTACCAATGGACCTCTACCAGAGATGTTCCACAAGCTCAATGAACTACTCCACACTGCAAAGGAGCCTTATCGGAGGTGGTACCGAACAGTCACACGAAAGCGAAAATGACGAGATTGGGGAAAACCGCGTGATGAGGACACCAAACTTTGTTTTCTAAAAGAGTTTGAAATTATAATTGAAACCAAATGATAAACAGATAATAATTCATGAAGAAGATTACGGGAAAATAAAATAAATTAATAAATAACAGATGCAATGGGAAGATATAGAAGATAATCCTAACCATTACAACTAAAAAAGATGGACGAAATTAAAAACAATATATATTATTAAGACTAACGAGAAGAGGAAAGACAAATAGATATAATATGCCCCTCTATTATGACGTTTTATCAAACATGCTTCTCTACTATTTTTTACATCAAACATGCCCTGTACTTTGAAAAAATTATCAAACATGCCCTTCTGTTAAACTTTCCATTGAAAAAATCGTCAATCATGATTGAACCGAGATTTAGACGACCCGACATCTACAAATGGGAGCGAAAATATCAGTTTTGTCTCCCGTTTTATTTCTCTGGGTCTCTTCAAAGTGATATTATTTGAATTATTTGGCTGTACAAAAGAACCAAAAAAATTCTAAAGTGAAATTATTAGGGATATTTTAGACATTTGTGTCACCCCAACCAAAGTTCGGCCTTTGTTAACGGATTTTGGATGGAAATTTTAACAGAAGGGCATGTTTGATAATTTTTTTCAAAATACAAAGGCATGTTTGATGTAAAAAATAGTTGAGGGGCATATTTGATAAATCGTCATATTAGAGGGGCACATTTTACCTATAACCCAAGACAAAAACAAAGAGAATAAATGTAAAGTAAAAAAATATTATTGTTAATCAAAAGGAAACGGTTGAATTACTTACCTATAGAGCGGATCAGGTCAGTAACCCTTATGGTGAGTAACCATCAGTAATCTGTCCACATCCGCATGACATCAGCCTCCTCTCTCTCATGGAAAGTTTTTTTTTATCTTTTCTCCTTTAATCTTTAATGGACGATTTCTCTCTCGTTTTAAGTCGACATTTAAATTTTTTTTGCACAGATAAATCAAATTAAATGTGCTTTTTAAAATGATATCCACTTTGATATGTTTTTAGTACAAAAAAAATTGAATAATTTTTTACCAGTCATTACCATATGGTATGCTCATATTTAATACCATATGGTAAGAAAATGTACCATGATGGTATGAACATACCATTATGGTAAGAAGGTTGAATACATGATAGTAGGAGTATACTAACTGTCATTTACGACTTTCATCATTGTTTACCATAAGTTACCACCTACATACCATAGTGGTAAAATATGATAATTTTTGGTCTAGTATTTTTTCACCCAAAAATTTATAGATCCAATAGATTATGATGAACTCGTTCCTACTGAGCAAACATTTTCAAAAACGACTTAAAAATGAAGAAGTTACCATATGGTATGTAGTTGGTAAAAAAAGTTTCTCGAAATATATTGAAAATTGATCTAATTTTGTAGGGCACAACAAACTCGTTCCATGTGTGCAAAAAAAAAATTGAAATCCGAGTTAAAACGAAGAAGATATGAGCCGATTATGAAAACTAGGAAAAATAAAATGTTTTTTTTTAATTGACAACATTTAGATCTGGATTTTCTGGGCCCACTTAGATCTAAAGGTCCAGATTTAGTTCCTCATAGGTTAGTAACCAATGGTTACTCACCCTATCCTAAGCCACTGCTCGTCCGCTTCCTTTCACAGGTGGTATTTGACATGTTGTATTTGGGAAATAACAGAGGATAAAACGAGTTCAAAATAACACAGATAGTTTTGAATTATTCATAAATAACCCACAATTCAACTAACTAATTTTAGTAGAATGATGCCAAACAAGTTATTTAAATCCTAATAACTCACCCAAATAATCATCCGAAGGACCATAAACTTGTCAAAAAGAAAATTTAAAAAAGCATAATTAATTAATTAACCATGGTTGTCATACCGGCCAGTTAAACCTGGCTGGTTGAACTGGTGCGGATCATGTAACCGACGTGAACACCACCGTGTAAATTCTTAACAAATTGACGTAGTTTTAGTAAATTTAATTAATTATTTATTTCATGAATTTGAAAGTTAAAAATCGATGTTATTTATTGAATTTTAAATAAATTGTACTTGTATATGTTTTATATATAACTAAATTCATTAGATATGAATAATGTACCCTTTTTACATATTTTGTTAAACCGACACAAATCGATTGTATTCTTAATATTTCAACTGTCAAATCCGCAGAGTGTTATAAACCGGTTGTAATTAACAAACAAATAAACCGCGGCAGAGATTAGTGGACAATTCGCATCCACAGGGTCGGCATATTCTCAGCTCCGGTCTCTCTCTCCTTTCCTTTCCTCCCATTTTCAACCCGCACGCATCTTCAATTGCATCCTCCACCTCCTTCTTCGTTTCGAGCTCTCTTTTCCTCTTCCCCTTCCGGCAAACAGATCAATCTCAGCAGCCACAGCCCACCCGCACGCAATCATGGCTACTCCCGACATTCTTCAGCTCATTGACGAACGCCTCCTTTCTTCTCCTCTCCACGATCCTTCCAAAGGTATTCCAGATTTCCGTTTTCTGCCGCTTGGCGTTTCAATTTTGCAGTAATTTCTCCTATTAGCGGCCTTCACCCATGTATTCAATTTTTGGGCGGAAATGGTCGACTGTGAATTTTTGTTGTTGTTATTTATCATCTCCGTCGTTGAATGTCTTCCGCATCTGCGCAGCCGACGGAGGAAAGTCCCGTGGGTTGTCAATCGAGAAGAAGATCGAGTTCCTTGAGAGCTTGACTGGCAAAGTAAAACCTTTTTTTTCCTTTCCTGCCCTCCAGCCTTGCTTTTTTCCTGCAGAACTTCACTGCCTGTTTAGGGTTTGCATTACCTTTTAACTTCACTAATATGAATCATTGAGCGGAGCATTGCAATGGGCAGTTTATGTGCTTAGATTTATCGATCTGGTGATTTCAGTTGCTCCTCTGCAGAAAGTTCGTGCCTTTATTGTTTGGTTATGGTTAAGGTGTCTAGCAGCCATAGTATGAATCATGTGGTCAATAGATTTCAGACTAGGAGTAGATCCCTAGATTGCATCATCTAGTGATGCCATATGTATCATTTGCCAATATAACGTGCATTCTGATGGTGCGAGCTAGAATAAAGTTTTTAGTATGGTGGTGGAAAAGAACTAAACAGGGTGTCTTATCTTGCCCACTGCCACTATGAAGAAGAAAAGAAAACTAGCACCCATCACATAAGGGAAATTGAGATGGCTGAGAAGTTTAACCTGTCTTCATTGCATGTCTTGTACTTGTAATGACCTTCAGTCAGTCTCAGTCTAACCCCGAGTTTGCACCAGGTTACCAACAGAAGGTCTCGGAGATGGATAAATGATCGTCTATTGATGGAGCTGGTTCCTCGCCTGAATGCGGATGAGATAAAGGGCCTTTTTGCTCCACCTCCATGGGGTAATAAAATATGCTTTTAAATAGTTTCTGTACATTCAGCCGACATTTTATACTTTCACAAAATAGTGTTAGGAGAGACATATTTGTTATGTTTGTCAGGTGACAATGCAAATGGTAGTTGAAGGGAGATTTGCAATTTTGACTTATTTTTGTTGGTTGAAGCAAATTCTCTATCCCTGATGTCAAATGTTGGTTGTGACTAGCAGTATGTTTTGACAGGTGATGCCGTACCACCCTCTGCATTTTCCATGGCCAACATGGGAGAGTGGGAGAAATTTAGGAATATAGACATGGACAAACAGGTTTCTGTACTCTCCTAATGCATCAACGAATCTGGTTTAAGCTATTTATTTTCGTCTGTGAAGGTTTCCCATATAAAGAGGAAACCCTAATGCTTTTAGCTCGTGAAATGATAGTACAAAGCTGATGGGTAAAGATACCTGTTACATTTGTTGCTTGTAGAGGCTTCATCGCTCCCTTAACCTGACCCAGATGATTTAGTTTATTTTGTTTTAGGTTAATCCTAAGTTTATCGTTAAGAAACATTCTCTGCACTGTTAGCTGTAACAAGTTCTCTTATTCACCTGTGACCTGTGGCTTCCTCTGTGGCAGGCTGATATAATTGAGTCCTTTGATAAATCCTCGTCAAAAAGGAAAGGGTCCGTTGATGCTGATAAGATGGCTGTCTTAAATGCTTGGAGAAGAATTGAGGCTGGAACAAGGGATGCACTTCGCCGCAGCTTTCTTACTGAACTTATCCAAGGCTATGAGGTACATATTATATATTCTTTAGTTTCGGTTGAATTCATTGGTGCTTAGGCCCATTGCTTTTGCTAGGAATGATGGCTTGTTGATTAAGGGAAACTCTTTGTAATAGTTGCCAAGTTGTTTCTCTACTGCTCTCTAGGACATCTCATGATTGAACTCCATCATCATCATCATCTCTTGATTGACTTATTCTTTTGGGAAAGCTATCATACATATCGTTAACTATTTTGCTGATTCAGGTATGCATACGGGCCTTCATTGAGGATAATGTAGATGGTGAAGTTCTTACATTCAGGGTTCAGGATCCCTTCCACAGACTGTTGCTTCATGGTGTCTGCGAGGTAATTTTGACATTTATCATGCGGAGTCGTGAGCAAGTTGCATCCATCTAGTTCAATATGTGGAGTTTGTTAAAACAAGATTACTGGAACTGTGAATGATGTGTGCAATGAAACCCATATTCTTGCTGACTGTCTGCCTTATCACTTGGCAGTTCTACAACTTAGAATCGGCTACCGTCTCAGAGACAAAAGGAGGGAATCTTTCGAAGATGACTACGATAAAGAAAAAGAAGAAGAAGGTAGTGGATGAGCTCCCAAGTATCACCCTGTCGAGTTTCCTGATAATGACCAAAGAAGGTGTCTGGTAATATCATGGTGCTGGCCTGCTGGGGGAGTATACTACTTCCGCTGGATCAAATGTGAATAAATAAAATAGAACTTAGCCTGCCGAATCTCGGGCACATCGCAATGTGATGTTGAACTAGCATTGCAACATTTTATTCTTTACTGTTGTAAGATCTTATTTATTTGGCTGTAGATGGATCGTTATCTAGCTTCCCGGGGCGATCAGAATGTTTTCTTGTACATTACTACTAGGCTAGCTATGTACTTTGTTGCTTGCAACTCAATCAATATTACTAGTTGATTGCATTCTAATTCTAGCCTCCAACCCTAAGATGTAATGTAGCAGACTAAGTTTCTCCTTTCCCTGTGACCTAAAATGATTGTGGTAGTGGCATTTTGTACTGAATTATAACTTTTGAGTTATGTTGATGTTGTGGTGGCAATATTATCGCGAGAACAGAGGCACAACCACTCTATTACTACTGAAATATGCTCATGTTGTTGCTGTCGAAGTTTGCACTCGATGAATTCTGCTCTGCCAACACTAATGAGCAGCTGGGTGCCGGTGGAGTAGCTGGCATTGAAAATGTATATGAGCGTTGAAGGATTAGTTGGATTGGATGTCGTTGAAGATGACGATAAACGACGATGGACGGGGTAAATGAAGAAGAGGATGCTCTACAGTCTAAGAGAGAAGGATAATAATTTGGGTAATGTGTTTGGCTGAACAAAAAAAGGTTACAAAACAAATTTTAGTATAAGTTAGGGGGTAATTGGATTATTTCCTACCCAAATGGTCAATCTACACATCATGGGGAGAGGATGCGAGGATGAGATGGGAAATGTCAAGTCATTACCTTTGATGAATGAATGAAGGGTAGTGGGGATTGAATTCGGATTTATAGAAGATACTTTGGAGATTTGGAGAAGAATAGAATAGGGGATGGAAATGGAGATGAGGATAATCAAACGATACTTTGATACTTTGTTTATAGATTGATTCTGACAAAATAGGTAAACGACAATATCTAGAAATGTCAAGTCATTATCTTTGATGAATGGATGAAGGGTAGTGGGGGTTGAATTCAGATTTATAGAAGATACTTTAGGGATTTGGAGAAGAATAGAATAGGGGATGGAAATGGAGATTGGGATAATCAAACGATACTTTGATAATTTGTTTATAGATTGATTCTGACGAAATAGGTAAACGACAATATATGGACGCTAATTCGAAACCCTAATCGACTTAAACCTAGTAAAGTACTAAACTACCCTTGACTAATGATCGTGCCTCCGTCAACCTTTCTTTTGGATTTTGTTATTCTAGGTTGGTTAAGGTTTATTTTTGTTCAGTCATACAAGTAAATTGATTCTACTAGCTCGATGTGAGTGATATAGGATTGCATGGTGTAAATTTTTTTCCTCCCACACGTTGGAAACTAAAATAATGAACGTCTGGGTTCTTGAGACAATTGCATTACTCATCACGATTCAAAGTAAGAAAGCGTGAAAGCTACACTGTTAGTTTCAGCTTGCAAGAAAAAAAGGTCACTTAACAGGAAATGTCTGAATGAGAAACTAAAACAAACTTCAAATATCTTTTAGAAAGAAGTAGATCTTCAATAATATTACGTCTCTACGTCAAACACATGTTAAATGACAATTTGCAATAAAAAAAATATAATAATGAATAAACATGTCCAAGCTTGGTAGTTGGTAAAGGAAGAACAAATAATGCAACCTACCATTGATTGATTAATTATCAACATTCACTCCAAAGTTGATGTGAAGAGCAAGTTGCAGCAGCAAGTGGATTGGAGGTTAGAAGACAAAATTGATAAGGAATGCATGAGAATATGATTGGTTTAGGTATTAACGCATGCATGTGCTCTACTGTCATGGAAGAGTGGATTGAGTTTCCATTCAATTATATATGTGATGCACGTATTGATTGGTAGATATAAAAAATGATAAATGCCACGTTTGAAAATCGAGATTACTAAATTATGTCATGTTTAGTCACTAGAAAAAATAATATCAATTTTGGTCACTCGAATTACTGAAACATACCACATTTAGTTACTCTTTTGTTAGTTTCCGTCCAACTCTATTATATAAAAAGTGGATAAATGCCACGTTTGAGATGGTCTAAGCTTGTGATGTGTGTCAGGAAGAAAGAAAAGAAAGAAAGAAAGGCACAAGTGTGCCATAACCCACATGTATCTCGTTTGTTGTGAGTAGGATGGCAATGAGGCGGGTTTGCCTAAACCATCCACATACCCATCTTCAAATACCCAAACCCATACCCGCCCCATACCCATGTGGGGAATGTTTTGCAAACCCATCCCCATACCCGTGGGTTTCGGGTACCCATGGGTAATATCCATACCCGTACATTCAATATTATTATACCTAAAATTTACAAAAAAAAGTTTTAATTATAACTAAACGAACATATTATATCATGAAGCTAACAAAACACGGTCATTTTTTAATATGGTTCAAAGAATATGATCCTAAAATATCCATTAATACATAATATAGAGTTTAATATTTTTCAAATTATTATGTTCTAACTCTGATACATCTACTAAATAATAATTAACTAACATTATCTTGTTGACAAGGGGGAAAGTGAAAAAGTGAAATGAGAATTGAGAGAAATGAATTAGATTTTGATTAAGGTGGTCACTCAATTGCATTTCTATTATTTATTTTCTCAAGTTATACTCATCATCATTGATAAATTATAATTTGATGCACATATTTTTTATATATGAAAAAATTATCTTGGTGGGGTGGGTATGGGGATGGGTATGGGGCGGGGGAGGCTAAAACCATACCCGCCCCATACCCATCAAACTTTTTGCGGGTTTTACCCATACCCGGTCAAAGCGGGGATTCCCTGCGTTGACTGGGTCGGGGGCGGTCGGATACCCGCGACCATGGGTTTGATTGCCATCCCTAGTTGTGAGTGTAAAAGCATAAGCCTGCCAAATTAGTAACTAATAAGGTTATGCGTAGTGTCTTTTTATTTATTTATTTTGGCAACAGAAAATGAAATCTGGTGGAAATAAAGTTATCGTTTCTAGAGAAATAAAACTTAAAAATTTGAAATGAAAATCTTTTTATTTTAAACTTTTGCTTAGGTTTGAAACTAAAACCTGAATAATGGTAAATTTTTTGAACTCAAAGTAAAGAAAAGTTAAATGATCTAACTAATAAACGATAAAGGCAAAGTATTAAAAGTAAAACGGAGAAGGAATATTTATTTTATTAGAGAAAATATCATAAGGTAAACGATTTATAGTGACTTTTTTAAAATCAAATATAATAAAATAATGCTTCATATAAGTGAATTCCCTAAGTTTTTTACGTATTCATTTTGAAATGAAATGTTTTTTATTTGAATTACAAATGAATTCAATTTCAATGGTAAATATTGAACAAGCTAAGCAATGGTAACATTCTTACTTTTTGAACTCCATGTGATATAGTTGGTGCATGCTTTCAATGATTGATTTTGAACACACATAATGCTCTAGGTAACTCATTTTCAATTGAATTATTATTTAAAAAAAGAAGTATTCATTCATTTGGTTTCATATAGTCTACAAGATGTTCATTAGGTAAAAGAGATAATTTAAATAAAATTATTAAAAAATAATTGTGAGTAATGTAAAATATTTCACATCATCGATAAGAAGAGAGAAAAAATTGTTAAAATACGAGAAAACAGAACATAAAAATTGGTGAAAACAATGTCAAATCTGCCCACTCGCCCCAAAATGCATGCAAATTGCAGCATCCCGCTGCAGATTACAACCCTCACCAGTATACACAGAAGAAACAAAAGCATAAAACTGAAAGAGGGAAGGAGAAAACATCTGCCGAAAATCAAAACGCTCAATAATTTAGGGATTACAATGAGTCGGATCGGAGACGGATAGTGCATATCCGTTACCATATTAAAAGTAGTTTGGGTTTTACCCATACCCATACTCACATAAGAAACGGGTAGAAAATCAAAACCATACCCATTCGGATTTTGGGTATCCACTGTTATCCATGGATAATAATTTCTTTACAAACTTCAACCAATATGTTAACATTCACTTGTATTCTCACATTACGTAAGAGGAAAAGTACGACAATAATTTTTTTCTTCGTTGAATCAAATCCACTATTATTAAGGAACAACATCGCAAAACACGATACCTAACTGATACAACGAAAGAGGAGAGACCATTGTGGCCTCCCCCGTAAAAGACGCAACAACTCGATCCTCACTACATCAACTACACTCCACTCTAAAGCAACAATAGATCAACTATGATAGCGCTCTAGTAATCCTATACATTCAAAATCAGTGGCTAATGATAAATCACCACTCAATCTACAACTCATATCATACTTAAAACTTTTCCACACATCTTCAACACTCATATGGGATTCTCCATCACTTGTTACTTGACTCGCTTGCTTCCGGCCACTTCCCCGAATCCCAAGTTCCGTCTCAGGTGGTTCACCCCTGTCGCCGAGGTGATCATGACTAAAACTGAAACCTATCATTTTACTCTGCGCAAATTAATTAACATGTATCGCATTTTGTATCCTGATATACCCTTACTATGTTTTTAGTTTAATCTCTGTGGTCACGCGACATTAGCAGCCTCCCATACCCTTTTCGCGAACGGATTCGTGGAATCCGACACGATCGAGTTCGAAACAATGTCCGGAATTCTTACTGCCAGAAGAGTTGTTGGTGCTGCTGCTGCTACAGGGGAAGCCAATAAAGATAGCTTCCTCATTGAACTGAATTCCCCTATAGTCCCAATTACAGAGTTCAACGACTATGTCACCGCCGCGGCGGATGGTGACATTGCTACCATCTCCAAGGCATTCAATGGTGCTTCGATTGTGGACATGAGACGGACCACCACTGCAGAGGATCTCTTTGTATGTAGAACACTCTGGACACTAGTTAAATTGTTTTGTTTTGTTTTTTTTATATTGATGTGCTTCATTTGTTGGTAGCTGGTGTTGCCGTCTGGTGAAGCTGTGTTGGAATTGGAGCCGAATGTCGACGAGATAAGGAAGTGTCCTGGAAGGGGAATCATCGTCTCCGGTGCAGCTCCGTCCGGGTCTGGATTCGATTTCTACAGTCGATACTTCTGCCCCAAGTATGGGATCAATGAGGTAACTAACTGTGAGAAAAAAATATGTTTTGTATCTTCTGAATACAGAGTAATCTTGTGTTCTGCAGCCTTAACTATACAGCACCTTATAGAAAATCGCCCGAAAAAACGTAACAGATGTCCACGAATTCTGCTTTCCTGGTTGTTTCAGGATCCAGTTTGCGGCAGTGCTCATTGTGCATTAGCACCCTACTGGAGCAAAATCCTGGGGAAATCTGATTTCTTGGCGTATGCAGTATTTTGCCACTACCGAGTCTCCTGCAGTTTCTTCAATTGCAAACAAAACTTATAGTCATATGCTTCGTTATATTAACTTGTCATGTAATGCTTGATGTGGATTTGGTTGGCTGGCAGGCGTCACGAAGGAGCGGAGTGCTCAACGTTGGTCTCGACGAGGTCAATGAGAGGGTGATGCTGCGAGGGAAAGCCGTCACTGTTATGAAGGGATTTGTTCTTGTGTGATATTTTTACATTTGTATTAAAAAAATAAAAAACTCTGTCACTTGTCGCCTAGTTCCATTAAATCTGTTTTAACTGTCAACCAAGGTTGTCAACTCGCGGGTTGACCCGGATCCGGTTGAGCTAGTGGGTCAAGGGTTAATGGGTCACCCCTTTTAGCCCGGTTTAGCCTGGAAATATGGAAAGCGTCATTATATTGTACTTATCCTGATAAATTATATCAAATCTCATCTAACATATGAGTTATAACATATAATATTACACCAAAATAACATTTCGTACTTAGATTCAACATATAGTGAAAATTCACACACACTTATATAACATTAATATTCAAATGTTCAACTTAGGATTCCAAAGATTGAGTTAGGCGAAAAGAAAAATCGGAAAATAGGCGCATTTCGCAAAACAAAGAAAAAAATGACACAATTTGACCTCCAACCCGGTACCTTATAGCAGTCGACCCGGCGGGTGCGTGCGGCCCGTTTTTCTCACCGGGTCAGGATCAAAGCGGGTCGACCCGCGGGTTGACAACCTTGCTGTCAACAATTATGTATAATTGTTAAAATGGTAATGTAGCAATTTAAAAAATCAATAAATAATAAAAAATTTATTTATTTTCACGATATACTACAATTTAATAAATTTTTATAAAATTATCATCACACTACCCAATTTAATAAATATCTAACGTACTCTAATAAACTATAACAAATATTTACCCATGTAGCTCTGGAGGAGCTTGTTAAGTGCACAAAAATTCGTGTGCGAGGGGCTTCGATGGAGAATTGGCAACGATGTACAAGTAAAATTTTGGGGTGATGAATGGCTACCGGAGAGCCAGCTTTTGTCGAGTCGGTCCCGGCCTTTCTTCCAGTGGACTCTACAATGCGCGATCTCATAGAGCCGGCGACTGAAAGCTGAGATGTGGATCTGGGGAACAAGTGTTTCCCCCCCTTCAATCGCTCAGACCATTCTATCAAAACTCCTGCGCGGGACTAAGGGACGTGATCGTCTTATTTGGAGGTATAGCGAGAATGGGCAGTATTCGGCAAAGTGTGGATACATGAAGTGGTTGACGAATTTTATAGCAAAAGAAGGGATAGTTCCTTGTGGTGATGAGAAGTAATGGAAGACAGTTTGGACTATGAAGGTACCGCCGAAGGTCAAACACTTCTTATGGCGGTTCACACGCTTATCCTGCCCACCAATGAGAGAGTGGCGACAAAGAATCCGAAAAAGGACTGATGAATGCCCGTTCTGCAATCAGGTAGAAACCCAACGCTATACCTTCTTTGAATGTAGTTGGAGTCGTAGAATATGGCGTGGAACACCATGGGAGTGAGCGCTTGACGTAAATGGTGTGTTGGATAGCCTTGCGTGGGTTGTGATCATGTGGGCGTTGTGGAAAGAACGCAATGCACAGCTATTCAATGGCACAAAGTGGCCCGAAGATGAGATTATCCAACGAGCTATGTCCATCCTGGACGAATATCAAAAGAACCAAGGCCTGAAAGTGACGATTAGTGAACAACTGAGTGTTGCAGTGTGGGTGAGACCACCTGTGGGCCACGTTAAAATCAACACTGATGCTAGGCTGTTTGCAAATGGAGGAATCAGCTTAGGGGCGGTGTTTAGAGATCATTAAGGACGCTTCTTAGTTGTAGCGGCCAAGAAGGTACGTGGTTCATATATGGTGGAGATGGCGGAAGCTTTAGCAGTAGAGTTTGAGGTCCAGCTAGCGCACCAACCGGGGTTTCAGCAACCGCTTCTAGAGATGGATTGTCTATTCTTAGTTGAGAAACTCAGGAAACATGATGAAGATCATACCGAGACAGGCCTCATCTATAGGCGTATTACCAGTCTTTTGTAGATGACATGCTCGAGCATAGCCAACATAAGCCATGTGAGTTTTAGGGCCAATAATGCGGCGCATATAATGGCTCATTGTGAGGCCCATTTGGGATAGTAGAGAAGTGTGGATTGATAGACTACCAATCTTCCTTGTAGACCAGCTTCTGCTAGACGATGTAACCAATCTTCCCTAAGTAATACATCTTACAGGTTACCTGTAAAAAAATATATTTACCATGTAGCCGTCGGTTGGGTGTGATATTTACCCCTGAAGGCAGCAGAAGCAATTTGACATACAGATATCTAAACTCTATCGTCTTTCAACCTCACATAAGGACCCAAATCAACTCTCGAAATATATACCAGATAGACCATATTGAATGAAGTAGCTGAAAATGTGGATTGGTCTGTACGCCTGTGCGGTCTAGTCCGGATAGACCATATTGAGCGAAAAATGAACAATTTGTTTAGTAAACCACACAAAAAATTGAACCAATAACCTAGAAAAAATGTTTTTTCCCTTAAAACATAAAATCCAACATGCACGAAAAATTTTGACACCCTAAATCCCAGTAAACAACAAAAATATAAAGTCCAAGTATCCCAACTCGCATCATAGTGTCATAAACATTAACATAATATCATATGAAAACACGGTTATGAATGACAGAGGGGATGAGTTTCTCAAATTTAGGGCTGAGACTTGGGTCTCGTGGGGTGTGGGGGGGGGGGGGGGGGGTGATCGGGAGAGTGGTCGAGTGGGCTACTGACACTTATTGAGAAGTCCACTACGTTCACGGTTTGGTCCGGTAAACCGCGGTCTAGACCAGGCCAGAACAAGAGATCAAAACATCATATAATACAGACCATGAACCAGACCATTCTTGATGGTCTACGATATAGACCAGACTATGCGATCCGGTTTGGTCCATGATTTTCGAAGCGATCTAGTCTATTCTCTTAGCCCTACTTCAGGCCAGAGTAAGGTGCTAACCCTAAATATTATCACAAAATCATTAATTTGATCTAGTCAGCATGCCACGTCACTTAAAATACTAATAAAAATTTTAATAACCAAACCCAATTGAACTGGACTAACTCGATACTTACCCACCCGAAAAATCTTGGAGACAGAAAACAAAATGGTCACACAACAACACACTTAGTAACAAAACCGTCACAATTCTTTGGTGATTGTAACAAAATGGTCACACTGCTCCTTTGAATAAAAGTGACAAAAATCAATCGATGTCCTGAGTGTTGTAAAACTGGAATGAACATTAAAAACATGTAAATAAACCAAATTCAAACCTACAACTCCATCTTTCAACATCCAAATTTTGTCGTGTGACCATTTTTCTGGTTTGCATTTGGTTTATTTTTAGGAATTTTTCGGAAATGAATGATATTTTTTAATTTTTTTCTCTTTTTAGTGGTATTTTTGGAAAAATTCCAGAGATGCCGGAATCACAAAGTGGTCCAGGAGTCCAGGAGCATTACCAAATCCACCTCATTTCAACGAATCCCATCTGGTTCGCCTGCTCTCTCTCTCTCTCTCTCTCGTCGCAAATGGGGAAAGCGAAGCAAGCCGTTGACTACTTCGTGGTACGTTAACTCTAGACTAACAATTTGTTCATCTGAATCTTCTGTATATCTGACATTCATATCACCAATCGATATATCATTGATTTGTCTGACAAACTTAAACCTTGGGAGATGCTTAATAAATCAGGTGGATGCTTTCACTGATTCTCCGTTCAAGGGCAATCCGGCGGCTGTGTGCTTGCTGGAAGAGGAGCGAGACGAGGCCTGGCTACAATCGCTGGCCGCGGAGTTCAATATCTCCGAGACATGTTACTTGACTCGCTTGCTTCCGGCCACTTCCCCAAATCCCAAGTTCCGTCTCAGGTGGTTCACCCCTGTCGCCGAGGTGATTGAAACTAAAACCCTTTATTTACACCCAATAATGTATGTGTGAATGTGATATGATAATGGTGGATTTGCTCAGTTTTGGCCTTTTGGGGGCATCTGATACAATTATGTTCAGGTTAATCTCTGTGGTCACGCAACATTAGCAGCCTCCCATACCCTTTTCACCAATGGATTCGTGGACTCTGATACGATCGAGTTCGAAACCCTGTCCGGAGTTCTGACTGCCAAAAGAGTTCCTGCTGGTAGTAGTCCCCTCAGTGATGGGGAAGCGAAAGATTGCTTCCTCATTGAACTTAATTTCCCTACTGTCCCAACTACTGAGTTCAACTATGCTGCCGCGGCTGTTGATGATGACATTGCTACCATCTCCAAGGCATTGAACGGTGTTTCGATTGTGGATATGAGACGGACCACCACAGCAGATGACCTCTTTGTATGTAAAACTCTCACACATGGATACCATCTCCAACAAGTTTATTGTTTGGTTTATTTGATATTGATATCGTGGTGTGGTGTGGTGTGCCTCATTTGTTAGTAGGTGGTGCTGCCGTCTGGTGAAGCTGTGTTGGGATTGGAGCCGAATTTCGATGAGATAATGAAGTGTCCGGGAAGGGGAATCATCGTCTCCGGTGCAGCTCCTTCCGGGTCTGGATTCGATTTCTACAGTCGATTCTTCTGCCCCAAGTATGGGATCAATGAGGTAACGTGTTTTTGGACTTTGAAAAAGAAAAATTGTGGTGTTCTCTTATGATGCTCTAGGGCAGTTAAAGCTCCAGTTGGCTACAAGATGGCATTACAATCAGTGAATGTTGATCTAACGTTGTACCTAGGATGAGTCCAAGCAAATTTTTTGCGGTTCTGAATACGTAGTATTGTTAGGTTCTTCAGCCTAACTAGAACACCTTATAGAATTGCGGAAAACGTAACAGATGTCAACAAATTCTGCTTTCCTCTTGTTCAGGATCCAGTTTGTGGCAGTGCTCATTGTGCGTTGGCACCCTACTGGAGCAAAAAGCTGGGGAAATCTGATTTCCTGGCGTATGCGGTATTTGCCCTTACCCAGTCTCCTGCATTTCCCTCAATGCAAACAAACTTATAGTCATATGCTTCGTTATCCAACTTTCTAATGTATGTTTGATCTGGATTTTGTTGGCTGGCAGGCGTCACCCAGGAGCGGAGTGCTCAACATTCATCTCGACAAGGTCAACGAGAGGGTGATGCTGCGTGGGAAAGCTGTCACTGTTATGCAGGGCTCTGTTCTTGTATGATATTTCACCTTTGTATTTAAAAAAAGAAAAAAAAACTCACCTTCTCCGCATTTTCAGATTCTTCGTTGGGATCTATTTACATGAAGCAGAATTGTAACACTCTAGTATGGTAATACCACAGAGTTGGGCCCGCCCGTTGGCCGGATAAATTACAACAATCGTATAAGTACTAATAGTAATTATATGAACCATTTATTTGTTATCATGAAAGAAACTAAATTATTCAATTACTCAAAATATTAAAAAAACTACATTAGAAGTTTTACAACATCTTGATCATTCATGGACAAACGTCCTTTTGAAAAGTAAACAACACAACTCATGCAGGTAATCGATTCGTAAAAAAATTCATGGTCCATGAAATCGTACCGTAACGGCAGTTCAACCACGAAATACCAATATCGGAGGCAAAACCGGTAGACGGTGTTTAACGGTCTAACGGTTGAAGGCTAAATTGCAAGTTTGGTCACTCGAATTGCTACAAAATTTCACGTTTGGTCACTCGAATTCGTTTATTCCATTCGTAGTCACTTAAATTAGTTGAACAGTCCAAGTTCGGTCACTCTCCGTTAACCTCCGTCAGACTCTGTTAGTGCCGTCAGTTAACTGCTGACGTGGCTAACAAAGATGCCTAGTCACCCAATTTTAACCCAAGAAAAAACAGAAATTGACCAGCCACGTAAGAAAAACATGCCACCTCATATAAACACAACCCAACCCACCCAACCTAAAAAAACCATTAACCCACCCAGAAATCGAACCCGTGACCCATCCACCCCCCTTCTTCTTCCTCTATACCCTACTTCCGCCGCCGCCAGGGGGATTTCCCCTCGATCTCCCTGCTGCAGCCCCCGCCGCCGGATCCAGATTCACCAGGAAGAAGAAAGACGAATGTTGTTAGGGTCGATTCAATCAATCTCTCTTCCACTTTCATCTCTTCTGTTGAACCCTAGAAATTCAGATCGATTCCTTTTACACAGTACAGCTAATCATATCTTAAAACTCACCAGTCACCACACTTCCTCTTCACACTCCTTCGATTCCATTTCCCCGTGGCCGATTCGTTGAAAAAAATTCACTAGATGGGTCGCGAAGTTTCACCCGAATCGGAGTCTCCATCGTCGCCGTCAACGACGGCGACCCAGACGCCTTCTTACTACAGTCCCAGGCAAGCCATTGACGTTCTCTCTTCTTTGATCTCCTTCTCCCACTCCGCCAAAGTGGGATGCCAGTTCTAAATGGGGGTCCTAACACTCCGTCGAATATAGATCCGTGGTAGGTCATTGGAGATTCGTCGTTCGTGGTTTTGTATACCGACCGGTCATCCCCCTTCGAGCGAAACAAGGTTGCTCTTCGGATGGATGTACTCTATGATTTGGAGAGTTGTCCATCTGGGGGAGTTGGTGTGTATAACCCTGGATTCTGGGGCATGGTGAGAATTGCATTATACTCTTATTTATGCAATGTGAATGATAGTGGTAGAGATCTTGAAGTAAAGAACATCTCAAAATTATGTCTTTTTCATTATCTCACATTCTCTCTTTGGTCTGCAGAGTTCTTCATTCGCCAGGAACACTAATGGAACTTTTACTTCCTGCAGAATATAGAAGGGGGAAAGAAATACAAATTGATTCTTTATGTTCGCTCACTAGATTCTATTGATGTGTCCGTGCTGTTGACGGGATCAAATGGGTTGCGGACATTGGTTACTACCATCATCAAGTGAGAACTAGTATTCATGTTCTTTTCTGTGTGCCATGGAAATCTGCGGTATATTGTGATCTATGGATTAGGGATTTTAATTTGGATTCATTTATTTCAGAGGACCTGCTTCAGCTGTTTCAGACTGGACAAAGGTGGAGACCCTGCTAGAAGCTGTTTCAATCTGAGCTCGGCGGTGGATGAAGACGAGAGGTACGTGAGAGTGGTTGTGGAATTGGGGGAAATCGTTGCCATCTTGGTCAATCTCCTCGAGTCGCCGGAGATCGAGATTCGAGACGAGGCGGCGAGATTGGCGAACCTGGATCCGGCGGCGGGGGCTGCAGCAGGGAGATCGAGGGGAAATCCCCTCGGCGGAGGCGGAAGCAGGGTATAGAGGAAGAAGAAGAAGGGTGGATGGGCCACGGGTTCGATTTCTGGGTGGGTTAATGGTTTTTTTAGGTTGGGTCGGTTGGGTTGTGTTTATATGAGGTGGCATGTTTTTCAGACGTGGCGGGTCAATTTCTGTTTTTTGTGGGTTTAAAATTGGGTGACTAGGCATCTTTGTTAGCCACATCAGCAGTTAACTGACGACACTAACGGAGTTTGACGGAGGTTAACGGAGAGTGACCGAACTTGGATTGTTCAACTAATTTAAGTGACTAAGAATGGAATAAACGAATTCTAGTGACCAAACGTGAAATTTTGTAGCAATTCGAGTGACCAAACTTGCAATTTAGCCAACGGTTGAATTATGGTTAAACCACAGTTTTATCATAAAATATCATACCGCTGACTTTTCCAGTCAATATCCGGTACAGTTTCATGGACCATGAAAAAACGTAATTTTCAAAACGTACTTCAATTTACTCATTGCTGTTAGAAATTACTGTAATTTCCTTTTGATAGCTCTGGCATCAAAAGTATCTTCTCCACACAACTTCATATTTATTCTTTCATTAATGAAACTTTATATTCACCATCAATAGTATTTTCTTTTTTCTCTTGCATCTCATTGAAAACCATTTTAATGCTAAAATGTTTGAAAATGTGAAACAACTTTTCAGGGTGCTAGAATTTTGCCTAATATAAATCACAAATATTAGCAATCATTCGCTCTTTCCTCCCATCACAATATTTCTATGTCCATCATCAATAATCTCTTTCTTTATCTCAATAATGTCATTATCTCTATCACTGAATTCACTACCTTTGATATTAGTATACTCTTAATGGCAGAATTTTATGAATTGTGAGCATTTTCAAGAACTTAAATTTATCCAATACATGTCATGAACTTTGTTTGAGATTGCTCTTCTTCATCCTCTGTTATCTTCAAAATCGTGTACCCACTTATGGGGTTCGCGATGTTGTAATCGGTGAGTTGCACATGAAAGTTTAATTTCATGCTCTCAGTTTGTATGAGATCGAGATGAGGGTGTAAAGGTTTTTCATTTTTTCACTATTTTTGAGTAGTTTCTCAATAATTATTCCAAAAAATCTATCTTCCTCATGATGCAGATCAACAATAAAGTTAGATTAAACAAATATTGTCTACAACTCACAGGTAAACCTAAATATATAAAATAACAACAATTGAGATACATTATTTGGTTGAAAGCTTGATATTTTAGTGGGTATGTTGTTTTCTCTAATGAAAATGAACTTGAAGTTAAAAATAATTGAAAAGTAGAGATAGATTGTTACCTAACTCCTATGTCTTTGATGTTGTTGTATAATTCTTGTAAATAGCTCATCATAACCTTCTTCAACTTTTCTTTGGCAAGTTACAATTAATATGATTTTTCTAACCCATTTAAAATCCGAGTTGAAATGAATGAGATATAGTATGCTAAATTTGTGAGAAATTGAAATCCTTTAACTATAGGTATTGAGATTTGTGCCAGCTGTAAAACCTATAACTAAGGGATATGCACCAAAATTCAGGTCCTTTTACTTGGCTGTTTGAAATCAAACTTGAACACTATTTTGTTAATAAGATGATCCCCAAGGTGAATATATTTTCGAGGCGTAGACTCAATAAATATAGTACTCAATAATAGTATGAATTGACTTAATAACTCAAAATAATACTGAAGCAGTTATAACATAACGAAACAATATGTTACTATCAAAGCAAACTTTGATAAGAATCATCATCGCACTATCTCACTAATAATTGATCAAAACCAAGCAAAGTTATGAAAAAATAAAGCAAACACAGTTGTTGGTTTCCTGCTATAGTAAAAGAAAACTATATATCACATCTAGATCTAATGTGGTATGATCTCATAAATATTTTATCATATCCTTGAAAAGAATAATGAAACTAAGCATATAACTCTTGAGTTTAGTGGCTGCCACTGCCATTATACTTGCTTTGCTTGGAATATAGTAGTGTCTGTATAAATTAGTTTTGGCGCTGTGGGGGAAAAGAGGTCCAAGTAAATCCAATTGTTTCCGTGTCCCAAGTTTGCAAGTAAAAGGAAAAGAAATGGGCCTGGCCAGTCCAATCACTAATTACACAAATACATTTACTAATCACTCCCTCCGTGCATTGCGCATAGAACAGGAAAAGGGAAAATAAGGGGGTACAGGCCAAGAACCTCCATATAGTATTGTTAGGATAGGATACTACTTTTAAAATCTATCTATCTATCAAAATAATAAAGGACTTTGAGATTTTGGCCCCATCCACGTAAGCCTTTCTCAACACTTAGCATATACACATCAGCACCATAAAAAGGACTCCTATTCTCTATCGGCCTATCCATTCTCCTTCTGTTAAAAAACATATTTTCCACCCTTTTCGTCCCTGCCTTTTCACAATTCACCACTGCAGTTTCTTTTTCGCAAATCTGCAAACTGCAATCCTTGGCTCAAGATAGGGTGAGTAACAATGAGTAACCAAATCTGGACCCTTCTTTTAAGTGGCTGCATATCTAAGTGTGGAGAATTAAAAGAATTTATTTCCCTAGTTTTCTTAATTGGATCATATCTTCTTCATTCTAATTCAGATTTCAATTTTTTTTGCACAGATGAAACGAGTTCGTTGTGCTCTACAAAATGATATCCATTTTCAATATTTTTTGAGAAAAAAAAATTCATCCCTCTCGTTACCAACTCCATACCATATGGTGTCTCCTTCGTTGTTTAGTCATTTTCGGAAATTTTTGCACAAAAGGAACGATTTAATTAATGATCTATTGGATTTCAAAATTTTCTGGGGGGGGGGGGGGGAATTCCATACCTCTCGTTACCAACTCCCAACCATACTATACCATCCTGGTATGAGGTGGTCTTTTCATACCATATGGTATGCTGTTATTTAATACCAGTCAATACCATATGGTATTGACTAGTAATAATTGGCAAATTTTGTTTGTTCCAAAAAATATCAAAGTGGATATCATTTTGAAGAGCACAATTAATCTGATCTAACTGTACAAAAAAAATTAAATTCCGAGTTAAAACGAGTGAGAAATCGTCCGTTAAAGATTAAGGGAAAGAAAATTAATGATTTTTCCAGGAGAGAGAAGGAGGCGCTGATGTGGCAGATTTTTATTGGGTTATGAATGGGATTACTCACCACAAGGTGACTCACCGGATCTACTCCCGCAATCCTTCCATCTCCGCAGATATTTGTTGCGACAAAACGTGAACCAGATTAATCAATCGATTTGTTCTGATTGATTCCAACCCCACTTTGAAATGATAAATTGTCCGAAACTAATTCCTCTCTGATCAAATTGTCGTAGGCAGTCGATTGAGAAAAATTGTCGTGGAAACTTGAGCGTTAGGACGGGAATCGTAATGGAGTAGGCCGATCTACTGCAGAAGAAAAGAGTCGAGTAATTTCCTATCTTCCTTCCACTCGACTCCCGCCGTTTTCACGACAGCCGACTTCCCGCTTCTTCCATTCATCCATCTGATCTTCACCGCCAGATCTGCAACCATATTCCTTCCACCACGATCCAGTAGTTGCATCTCCTGTCAACTTCGGCCTTCCTGAGCAACACTCCGGTGGGGACACCGCTCCAAGCATAGACATGGCACCAATTACGTCGTCGATTTTTCGTTGTCGGGCTAAATTCTGCCGTCAATTGTGCTCCTCCATTACTCAGACGCCGCATCTGTCAAATTTTCCAAGCATGTCCTCACATTCTGCCTAATTAACTTTTCCACCGGGGAATAGGGTTCATCGACCGGCCAGAGAACGCCATTCAACCCCTAAAAGCGCGCCACGGAATTCGCCCTGAATGAATCTCTTCACCCAGGCTGTGATTTTTGGATTTAAGGACATCTTCCATACATCCTAAGTATGCAGTGTAAGTTTGGTGATCCCTCATTTTTTTTTTTTTTTTTTTTTTTTTTTATGAATATCCCTCATTTTTTACACTGCCCGATAGCCATCATATTCATATGTAGATTGAGATTGGATCTCACCATTAGTTAATTCAATCAGATTGTAACATCTTTTTCTAATTCGATCAAACTGTCTACTTTTTTTGTCAACACCAAAATGTAGTCATGTCCTTCGCATCATTGAGAGCTTTTGCTAATATGCTACAATGCTATTTGTTGGCTGAACAATATTAAGAACTGTTATTTGACATAAAGATGATCCTGGTAGTTCCCGTTGTTTTTGGTGTTTTTTGCTATCATTACAATATTCATTATGCAGGACAAAGTTGCTCTTCATATATTTGCTGCATAACAAACACCCTATGATAAACCGATAATTACACATATCTTCACCCTTATTCTTGAGCCGTTTGAGAGGTTGACTCTCGGGTTTTAAGCCGATTTCACGCGAGGTTGTGTGTTTATGTCATATTTCAGGACCCGGCGTTGGAATCGAGGCAAAGGAACGAGATTCGGGTCGAAAGGAGCAAGTGAGGATTGAAGTGGGCTGGAGGAAGAAAATACCCGGCCATGACCACAAATACCCGGCCGGGTATTATTCAGAGGAGACTGGGGATTTTCCCTTTTGGCGTCTGAGAAACAGGGGGGTCCCGGTCTGGAAGGCAGAAATCCCCGACCGGGGATTATTGGAGGAGACCGGGTATTTTCCCCTGGCCAAAACGCACGTTTCAACTATATCCGGTCGTGACCCAAAATACCCGACCGGGTATTTCGACCGGGTATCGCGACAGGCAGCTGTTTTAAGGGAAAAGAAGGCTGAAAATCAGGGGATTCGAGTTTTAGAGAGAGAGATCGATTCCTAGAGTGAGAAAGTGACGAACAAGAGTTCCCAAGTGCCCTAGCTTGATCTTCATCACCATTGGAGGCCAGTTTGAGCTTGGAGAAGTGCCGATCAACGTCCAGGAGCAGGAATCCATCCTTCACAGTATGAATTCCGCGTCTGATTCTGCTTTTGCTTCTTTCTCCATGGAGTAGTTCTCCCATTCATCTGGGTATGGAGAACCCTAGATTTGTATGTTAGGCTTTGATTGTATGAACCCAAGTACTGATTCTATGATTTGATTATATTCGATTGAGGTTTGAATGATTGAATGACTTGAATCCTTATCAAATTCCTGTTGTTTCTGCTTTAACCTAGAATGAGAATATCTGCCTAGGTTGATAGAGCATCCTTGATTGAAGGTAGGGAGTTGGTGACTTTAGTCGAGGAGCCAACTCACTATTCTGTACCGGATTCACTTCGGTAGTGGAGGTTTTGTTCTTAGGGCCTCAATCTGTTTACTCCGGTGGAGGTTAGTCGCCCGCTAGAGACTCAGATTGAGAGGGTCTGAAGACCTTTAGTCGAGACTTCAGGCTGTTTAAGAACCTTCCGCAGTATAACTTTCATAGAAACTGAACTTGGTAATTACAATCCGGCTTAACTGCAGTCTAGGGAGAACCATATCCGGGTGACCTCTCTTAACCTGAATACAACAGTTTACTTGCTTTGTTAGTTTGTTAGTTTAGACTTGCATTAAAGTTTCATTGCTAGATAACAAGAATTCACTGAGTAGTCATCAAATCTAGGACCCGGGTTGATAATTAAACCTAAACCCGCTATACTATGCTTTAGGAAGTGGTTTCACTTGGCCAATTCCTGGAGTGACAGTAGAAGTGAGTCACCCTACTTCCTATAAAAATGATTGTTACCTTAACAATAGAAGGGTATATTTGTGCAAAAAATAATACAAGCATGTTTGTTAATTTATAATAATAAAAGAGTATAAAATACTTCTAACCTAAGTGATTGATTGAGAATTTAGCCAATACTAAGACAAGCTCTCAACTAGAGGGTCAATATTACTCTAGAAAATGAATTACCACACAAATGATTATGATAATCCAAATAGTTTAAACTTAACAATAAATTGGTTAATATAAAAAAAATTATTAATACAACCCGGCCAATTGGCCGAGTACGAAGCTAGTACATTCTCAATAAGAGACCTAGGAGGAAATCTATGGAGAAAAGAGTCGTTCTACTAGGGAAGATCTACAAGAAGACGAGAGATAATTAATGTAAGCTTTCAAAGTTCGACAAGAAGATACCATCAATTATGAGTAGAAGAACCCTATTTTTATACAGCTAACTACACATAAGAAATACTCAAAAGAAGCAAAGGAAACCAGTTAAGAACTCTGAAGATGAAGGAGCAGGGTAATGCTCTACGGTTTCCAAAGAAGAAATAAGGGGTCGTTTGCTTCAAGGATTTGCATCATGGATTTGGTACTAAAAAACTAACTATCAAGGATTTACATACAATCCTTTGTTTGCTTAGTTAAAAAATGTTGAAACAAATCTGTGGGCCCCACAGATTTAGGTTTTTTTTCTCCTCCAAATCCGTGGGGCCCATAGCTTTACAAATCCCACATGATTATTAGGGAATTGGTGATGTGCTGAAAAACCAAGAGGCCAATTGACACTCCTATCCTCATTCTTTTTCATTAAACCAAAATTGCCCTCTTTATCCCCACCATATCTGTCGCTTCTACTTCCCATTCTCATTCTTTACACACCAAACCAAGGAAGCTGCTAAGAGTTCTTCAGTTCCTTTCCTAGAAAATTGCAGCCCCCACCAACAAAGGAATTCTTCGGCCGACGTTGAGTCCG